GGCTCCACGTCCACCACGAAAACCTCCACGTGAATCACCATAGCCAGTCACAGGACCATATGTAGTTTGAACTGAAGCATCTTGAGTAGTCTGTGTCGCATCTACAGTCACAGGAGGTGTAGCCTGAGCTACGTTGACAGAAATAGGTTCAGCAACCACACTCTTCTTAGTCTTCTCTAGTTTCGCTTCATGAGAAAAAAGCATAGATTCAGCTTCAATGATAGGACAGAGATGAGGCCTGTACTGGATGATTGAAGCTAGGGCATTGTACTCCTTTGGTAAACCATCAAGAATGGCTTCAATTTGATCACGATGGAAATCGGATCGTCAATTGACTCAAGCACGTCCACAATTCGTTGAATACGAGCAAGATACTCTGTAACCATTTTCTCCCCTTTCGTAATCGATTTGAGCTCCGAACGAAGTTGGCGCGACTTCGCATTTGTGTGCGCGAACATGTATTTGTGAATCTCATCCCAAATCTGATTAGAATGCACACAACGAACAACGCGAGGAAGAACGGAGTCAGACAAGGTGGTGAGAAGCCACGTGAACAAGAGCGAGTCCTGTTGCTCCCAAGAGACATACGCTGGATTTTCTGCATCGTTCTGACGATCTGCTTCAGTGAGATAGCGTGGAGGAAAGATAGGGCTCACCAGAAGACGATGAAGTTTGTGCGTTATGATGATCCCTTCGACTTGTTGTTTCCACGAACGAAAGTTATTCTCATCAAGCTTCAGAGTAATTTGTTGCGCAAACGTCTTGAACGCGTTCTTCACGTTGAGCGCCGCCGTCGCCGGCATTGTACCGGTCGTGTTCTCAGACTCACCATCGGAAGCCATGGCCAAGGATCGAGCTTAAGCTCTGGATACCATGTTAGAAACATAGCAACAGAAGAAAGGAAGAAGAAAGAGAAAGAAAGGAAGAGAGAGAAAGTAGATCTGAAACTCTAACTGAATTGTATATTATAATAGAGGGCAAGACTGAGTTATATACTCAGCACAATGATATTACAATTTTACCCTTTCTACTATTGAAGTATATATTCTAATAGAGAGCTGTATTGTTTATTGATTATGGGCTTCTTGATATTGAATCACTATGAGCTAAATAGGCACAGAATGATATTTTGATAATGTATAAACAACTTATAAATTTTGCTGGATGCAAATTTTATTGTTTTGCACATATGTTTGTTTTGTTTAGTTTCATGTTTTGAATTAAACCATACTTGCGAACTGTGGCAGTTTGTTGCAAAGAAACTGGACAAAAGATTAATGGACCTTGGAGGAACAACTATTCTAGAAAGAGGCTTGGGAGATGATCAGCACCCTTCAGGGTATGATTATGAATTATGTTGTTGATTAAGAATTTTCTGCTTGTTTTAGTAGAAACATGCACCTTTGTGCTTGTGGAATATGAAATGTTTAATAACGTGATTATACTATTGACCTGTCCGGCTGTCCCAAATATACTCTAGTTTTCTTGTTTTTAGTAGTTGGTATGATGCTTCCTTGGATGATATGATGAACCTACCTTACCCGTAGGATTTTGGTTTTATACCTTGTTACTACTAGCTATGGAGAACTAGATTATAGACAATAAGTACCTTACTCTTTGCAGTTAATTTTTCTTCCTAGCTGTATATTGAAATATAAAGATTTTATTTACGTGACTAAATGTGGTATAATTATTTATAGTTATGAAGGTACTCTTGATCCTTGGATGTCTTCTCTATGGAGAATGTTAAACACGATCAAACCAGAATTCTTACCAAATGGCCCAGATGTTGTAATTCAAGATACAGTGTTGATTGACCAACCTAAAGTCCAAATCACATATCACAACATTGAAAATATTGAGTCACATTTTTCAACTGCATCAGGTATCACAAACTCGGTAAATTCTTGGCTGGCTTGCAATGTTTTATTAGCAACTATTATGATCTCAAACATGGTATTTATGTATATTTCTTTTGTTAGTTGCTCTCTATATTTGACTAGAATTTTATAACATATGAATCTTTCAGATTTTACGAGTCCTGATATTCTTCGGAGTGCTCGTTCAATGCATCCGGGTAATTCTTCTTCCGACAAAAGTGGGCATCCTGACTGCTTTCTTAAGATGGTACTAGATAAGACACTTTATGCTTGGTAGTTTTATGCTGATGGACAGTTACCTCTTGGTAGCAGTGATCGAATGTCTTAATCTTTATTCCATGCTGATCATGCAGGTGAAGAATCTTCCTTTGACCAAACCAAACTTTGGAAAAGATGTTCGTCATTTTGAATTTGAATTTTTTTCAGACGTAAGCTATCCTGTCTTTTTAACCTTGTTGTACCCTTACATAGATGTGCAAAACTTGTTTAATAATAAGAGGAACTAAAGGCCTATGATGATGAAATCCGCATGTGTTAAAAAGTGAGCTTTTTCATTTATGTACATATATTGAATCAAAATTTAGGGTGATTTGTATTCTCTGTGTATGTTACTTACATTATAACACACGTTAAAATAGCTATGGAGTTATTCATCTTCCTTCTTTGAATTAATGTATGCATGTTGGTTCCACAGGCTGTTCAGTATGACACTGGTGATGTTCTTGAAATTCTCCCTGGTCAAGATTCAGCCGCAGTTGATGCTTTCATACGACGTTGTAATTTGGATCCTGATTCACTCATCACCGTAAGTCTTTATTTGGTCAAAGTCTTTTAATCTTAGTTAATGTTCAATTAAATTAAAAATATATTGATCTTAACATTGAACATCTTAGATTGTCCCAGTTTTCATATTTGTTTATATTTTATGGTTTTAATACATGATTGTTATTGAGTATAAACCCTACAACTTCAATAGTTAAAATTCATATTATTAGATTCATATTTTTGTTTGATGGAAGCATTTGTAAGCTTTTCTAATAAGATATCCCCTGAATTTCAGGCGAGTCCTAGAGAAATGGATGATTGCAATGGACATGGCTCTAGAATGCCTGTAAAATTAAAAACTTTTGTGGAATTGACTATGGATGTAGCTTCTGCTTCTCCTCGGCGGTATTTCTTTGAGGCAAGATGCTGTATGTTTGACTTTCCTTTGATTTTTTCGTCCTTCACACCCATGTTTCCTCATCAAAAGCTAACTCAACAACAATTTGATGTCTCAGGTTATGAGCTTTTTTGCAACAGCTGAACATGAGAAAGAAAGACTTAAGGATTTCGCTTCCCCAGAAGGAAGAGATGACCTATACCAATACAACCAGAAGGAGAGAAGAACTGTTCTTGAGGTGAGTGCAATTAAATGTATATTACACGTTATTTTGCTTTGATTCGATTCATTGTTTTTTATGTATTGATTAGACTTTTTTGTTTTCTTGTTTGTTTCATTAAATCAATTTTATTCAAATATGTTTATTCTGTTTCTTCTGGGGTAAAAAGGTGCTTGAGGATTTTCCTTCTGTACAAATGCCATTTGAATGGCTAATTCAATTGGTTCCTCTGCTGAAAACTAGAGCATTTTCCATATCATCTTCTCAATCAGCTCACCCTAATCAAGTACACTTGACTGTGAATGTCGTGTCATGGACAACACCTTACAAGAGGAAAAAGAAAGGACTATGCTCCTCGTGGCTAGCAACATTAGATCCCTGCGATGGTATGTACAAAAAATTAGCCACTTTTTCCAGTTTATATAAGGTCTGTTCGTTACATAATCAGACTCTTAGTTTAGTAATTTGTCACGTGTCTTGTTGTATGCAGCTGTCAGTATTCCTGCCTGGTTCCAAAAAGGTTCTCTTCCGACACCATCACCCTCACTTCCCCTCATACTTGTTGGACCGGGAACAGGATGTGCGCCTTTTCGCGGATTCATCGAGGAAAGGGCCTTGCAAAGTAAAACTAATTCCACTGCTCCAATTATGTTTTTCTTTGGCTGTTGGAATGAAGATGGTGACTTTTTATACAAAGACTTCTGGTTGAATCATTCACAGAACGATGGTGTGCTATCAGAAGCAAAGGGTGGTGGTTTCTATGTTGCTTTCTCTAGAGACCAACCTGAGAAAGTTTATGTTCAGCATAAGATGAGGGAACACAGTGAAAGGGTTTGGAGCCTATTAGCCGAGGGAGCTGCAGTTTATATAGCAGGCTCATCCACTAATATGCCTACTGATGTAACATCAGCTTTTGAGGAAATTGTATCTAAAGAAAATGAAGTTTCAAGGGAAGATGCACTTAGGTTGATTAGGGCATTAGAAAGGTCGGGTAAATATCACATTGAAGCATGGTCTTGACGACTCTCGAGAGTTTTGCAGGCATCAAAAAGCAGATTGGATCCCTACAGCCAGCCTTACATTGCAACCAGATTTTGAGGAATTTTCTCGAGATTAATCTAACGATCTTCAGCCGGCTGCATCGTAAAACCGCTTTAAGATGATATGGGTTTCTCAAGAAGGTACTAATATACATTTTTTTAGTCCAATTTTTATTGCTAATTATTAAGAATATTATTACATGTGATTTAAGGAAGTGATCTTTAGTATTCCATTTATACATTGTAAAATGTAAATACTTGACTGTTTTATGAATTGAATAGTAATATTTCATAAACATCTTGCCAACAGTGATAAGAGAAGAACAGTGTGCTTGCATCTGCCTCTTTTGTCAAGTCTTTTTCTCAGTAGATTTTGGTTAATTATGAATATTTCTCGGTAGAATAATCGTTATACAAATTGGTTAAATACTTTTTTTTTGTTTCAATAAAGATTTTAAGTCCTATGTGCATAAAACATGGTCTTCTTCTTCTTCGAACATTAGACATAATGTAAGTTTTCCGAGGCTATGCTCTTGTTCACATTTGAAGGAGAATTACAAAATCATTGAATTGGGTGATAAATAAATAATTGAAAAAATAAAATAAAAAATACAAAAAATAAGAATCGAATGAACCAATGCGGTTAAATCTGGTTCATCTAGACTATTATCCAATCGAGGGTCTAGTTGTTGATGTGCTCATCTGGTTCTCACTGACATCATCTTCCAATCCAAATGTTCGTGATGTGTATGCATTTTCTTTACATGTCTTTTTACCATGAGATTCACATCAACATTACTTTGAGACCTTTGTGGATTCCATCTAATAGCTTGTGAAGAAGGGTATGTTTTTTCTTCACTCAAATCTTCATTTTCTCTAGCTTCATCAAACTCACTTTTATGATCATTATCATCATCCAAACTCTTGTATGAGCTTAATTCACCAACCATGTCACTTTCTCTATTTGCATTTTTCTTTAAAACTAATATTGTTGCATTCTCTTGTGCTATCATTTCATCATCTTTAAGATCAATACTATAGTTTCTTTTTGAAACTACTACATCCTTTTGTTTATGGTTTGAGTATTTACTTATCTCAAAACTTGCTAATTCCAAAGCTTGTAGAACAGCTTCTGCAGCATTTTTGTTCCTTCTCTTTTCCTCATTCACATCAAATAGATTCTTATCTTGAATCACATTCTGATTAGGATCATGTGGAATATCTTCTTCATATTTAACATCTTCAACAGATTCAACACTACTATGATTCTTGCTTTCTAATTTATTTTGCCTTTGGTCAGCATTTAATTTTTCCTGCAATACATGTCACAACATAATCCATTTAGATTTTGAAATGACTTATTTGAATTTATTTACTGACGCAACTCTTCGGAGACTACATGTAAGTGTTCATAAAAACTGCTTATTATGACATGTTCATAAATTATTCTGAACTTATTTTTATAGATTTTTTAGAATAATTTATAAAAACAATTTATAGAAATAATTTATGTATAAGCACTTATTAAACAAGCACTTATTTTGAGACGTATTTTTTTTACCTTATTTGACAATGTAGTGTCCTCAAAAGGCAAAGTAACTCCAATTTCTGAAGCAATTTTCCTTATAGCATTCATTTTGGTTTCCATTGTGATTAATCTTGATGAGAGCTTTTGTATCAACTACATAATTAAGTCAGAAAAAAAAAATTAGAATATTGTGATTGTTAATTGAAGTTTTGAAATAAATTAGGTCTCATAATATCATATACCTTAGAGTTCACTCCATTATTTTTATGCAATTTAATAGCATGATTTGCAAATTCTTTCCCAAATTTTGAAGTCATAATCTCTTGGATTTTGTGTAATTCTGGAAAATTTCCACACCTTGATGATGCAAAAATAAGGCTGCATGTTGCTTCTTTGAGATCAATGGGACACTCCCTATTTTTGAAATTACTAAATTAGTATATTAAGATAGTAATGTAATAGCATGTGTCATTTCATTTCAATCAACAATTAAAGAAAAGAATAGATCTCCACAAATTCTAACTCAATTAGCATAAGTCGATATTAGTAATAGTATTTATGTTTGTGAGTTTTTAGTGATTATTATCATTTTGTTTATGGACTAAAAAAAAGAAAGAGATGGGAAAAACTAACTTATTATTTTCAAGTACTTGAGATTTTTCTCTTAGGACATTGCAATAATCTTCAATCATGACAAATGCATCCAACATATTTTGCTCTACAATCCAATGTTCCACCTGTTGATAAATAAAAAATACAAAATGCTTGTTGAATAAAAGAGAAATGTAATTTACAAAAAATAAAATAATGAAATAGTTTTGATGCTTACGCGAACAAGAGCTTGATCATGGTAACCAAGTTTCAAGAGTTGAGAAACATCATAGTTAGCATAAGAAGCTCTAGCTTTGCGATGATTCTTCAAGATTGCAATCCTAGAAATTGCAAGTAATGTTATGTTTTTCAATTTTGAAGCAAAACTTTTTCCAATAAGACCCATTTGTTTCACTTCTATGAATATTAAAAATTTGATGATGAGAGAGCAATAAATGAGTTTATATTATAAGAATAAGTATATAGCTTAAATGTAAGAATTTGTGTTCAAATTTGAGTTGATTCATGAACATGTCAATGTTTGTGTATATATATAAGATTCAACCCTTGATAGTTGCATAAAATATGACTAAGATATGAGATTGGTTACCTATTTTGAATTGACCTAACCTATGCTTTTTTGTATGAATAGTTCTTTCTTACATGTTTCCTTTTGTATCATAAATTAATAATTTATTTGCATGAGTGGAAACCAATGATACTATGTTTATGATAATAGATAAAGTCAAGTGGAATTTGACCACATTTTCCAAGACTAGTTTCAAAGGTCAAAATTGTTAAGTAGTTGTTTTTTGTTTTTGTTTTTATTATCATGTGGATAATTTTGTGTTGTCATATTTAGTTGAAAAGGTTAGTTTGCATTTACAATGTTGAGAATATTTGACCATGTGGCTGCTGATTAATTAAAGGAATGAACAATGAAAGTAATGTACACACTTTTAAAATTATTTTCTTTAAAAAAAAGGTTAAAATTGAATTAAATATTCTATTTTAACAAAAGAAATATGAATTATATTGAAAAAATTACAAATAAAATGATGAGAGAGGGAGGACGATTTTCATAGTTTATTCAAATATTATATGGATCTTAAAATGTCTCACAACCTCAAGTTATTTGTACACTACGATTACAAGATATTGTCTTTTTAGTTGAAAAATTTATCACAATTTTGTTCTTTGAAAAATACTCCTCGTTGAATTGAGGAGTGTAGATGTTGTAGTTTATATACACTTACTTTCATTATCAAGTAATGTGAGACTGACTAATGGTCCATCAAACGGCGTTAGTCATTAATGTATAAGTGGATCTACTCCTATGGCCGTCGCACATGGCACACCCCTCATTCCATTAGAATTTTTCATTTGCAAACAAAAATTACTCACGCTCAATGATAAACAATTTAGAGATGAATGTTGATAACGCAAAATTATATCGTATATTCGACTTGACTAGTATTTATTTTAGTTTCGTTTTCGTTCAATTTTATTTTATTATGCCGATATTTCTATTTTATTTTAGGTACTTTCTAACACAAGGCTTCCATGTAAAAAAGATAGAGAAATGACCAAAATATTAAGAAGAATAGAAGAAATAAGCAAAAATAAAATAAAATCTGCACATAGAAGGTTGTGGCCCTCGTCACACCTTCTATGATTCTCGCCACGCATCTCAAAGCTGTGGCCTTCACCACGCTTATGTTGCGGCGGTAGAGCGGCAAACAAAAAAGTTTTGGAAATATTTATCCGGGAATTTATCGTGTTCACAGAGATTGGTTATTGAATTGTCGCTCGATAGATAATTCGTTAATGAGTTTGGAGTTTGAATGGTATAGAAAAGTAAATGTTACCAACAGAAAATAAATGTAAACAAAAGTAAAAACTAAGGAAGAACTTATCAAGCCTGCAAATAATCTACTCATCACAGACTTAAATCTATCGACCAGTTATATGCAACCTAACAATACTCATCAATGTCACCAGTATCACTCACAACCTAAGTCATTTATAATCCAAATTGAGAGACCGAATGTATCATCTCAGAAGTGATATCTCTACCTCCTTAACAACATAAAAGACAACTGTGTTACTCGCACTGACGATCTCTCAGCACAACACAACCAACACAAAAGCATTAAACTCTGATACTCTATGTGAATGCCAACTCTAAATCTATCTCTAGAGTTTAGAAGCTAATAGATAATCATCCTAGATATAAATTTAAGCAGTATATGTCTATAACAACCCAAATTCCTAACACAGAGCAAAAATCCAGGACAACAATTGACAAAAAATTATAAAGCAAGTTTAATATAATGCAATGGACGACAAATATACACAAGTTCAAAGTAAATACATGTACAAACTCAACACATAAAGAATACACAAAGAGGAGGAGAAATAAACCACAAATCTACCGGTTTGTCAGCGCCGATTGATGAGAAATCCACTCCGGATCATCTGTATGTAAGCTTCAATGTTGTTTTCTAAGCTAATCCTATCAAAAAATGAAGGTTGATGGAGTTTGGATAAAAAATACCCAAAACCATACCCAAAAAATGTGTTTTACACCTAAATACGCATTTATGACTGTCCAGCATCACCCGACGATCAAAAAGCATCGCCCAACAACCAAAACATCATTTTCCCACGCTATAACTCGCTTAGCATCGCCCGACAACCAAAAAGCATCGCCCGACGACAGATGACAGAAAGTTAAAAAAATCAGCACAATATTATGCACTATTTTAGCCATAACTTTTAAATCGTAACTCTAATTCACGCCCAATTCGAAGCATTGTAAAACTTATTCAATGATCTTTCTAATAATGTCTAAATATCAAAGCTTGAATACCTACCAAAATGAGATAAAATCAATTAAACTCAATGATACTTACATAATAACGCAATAAATATACTATAACATAAACTATACTGAATATACACTAAAGTTCAGGTTTATTGACAAAAAGCAAACGAATTAAGCCGATGAGTGCTAATTATTCACACTCAAATTCAAAACAATTTAGCACTCATTAAACTCTCCCCAACTTAAAATATTGTTTTTCCTCAAACAAAGTCAAATAAACTTAAAGAAGCAAAAGTCAATAATCAAAGAATCACGAATCAACAGGTTTTGAAAACAGAAAACAAATGCAATGGTTCAAATGAAAAATAGTACACACAAAGTAAACACTTACCACTAAACTACGACTATAACATAAACACAAAATAAATGCTAAATACAAAAATTATGCCAAACATTCTAAAAAAATACTAGTTAATAAATGAATCACATCTAGCAAAAACAATCATCGGTAGATGAAAAATACACAAAAAATGAGATATTTTCATTCATCCACCAATCTTACAAACAATATACTAAATTATGCATTCATTCAAAAATTTATATTGAAAATATAAAAGCAAGAATCTCAAGGGATTTTCAAGGTTGTAATGTGGCTTGGTTAACAAACAAGTGATAAGTCCTAAAGCAAATCGAAACAAAAACTTGCCTAAACCTAATAGAGTAATTACTTCCACAAAGTTTCAAACAATAGAATTTCAATCAAACTTATTCTTCATCCCAAATTTCAAACCAACACAGATCACTTATTCAACACAATATTATTCCATACTCTTTTTATTTTTATTTTTCAAAGCTTTTCTATTTATTTCCTTTCTTTTTCTATCACTTTTCTTTCATTTCTTTTCTCACTTTTTTATTCTTTTCAACCTCATAGCAATCAACCAATAAATACACAATTATTTTTCTCCCCAACTTGAATTCAACCATACATTAAAGTGAATACTCCATAATTTCTAAGGCAAGGTAAAAATTCAAACCAAAAAAATAGTTGAGGGTTCAAGAAAACAACGAATCAACATCCATGCAAAAAGGGAAACTAAACACTCATAGACAAGCATTTAGCAAATACAACATGGATATCGATAAAAAGCTCAAAGGGGTTACTAATGATCACACACTCACAAGGTGAATTGACTTATTTGACCAAGGTAGTTGTGCTCAAAATAAAACAAAAAAATTCCTTGATCATGTTCAAGCTTTCATACAATCAACACAAACAAAAGATTAAGCATAATAAAATCCAGTTAAAACAAGAATTGTGGTCTCCAGCATATGTGAACAATGGAAAGCTACCTCACAAAAATGATAGGAACTAAAATGATTCACAAATGAACAAGTATATAAAGGAATGAATGGCATAAAAATTGTAAAAAATCTAAGTATCATGAATATGCTAAAGTATAGAAAGCGATAAACACATACCTCGAACATGTACAAAACTTTAACAAAATCATTACCACACATTTGCAAGTCAAAACAATCAAACTTGACAAATCACCTAAATTTTTTACAAGTTACCGGATCAAAACTTGAGTGAGAACAACGACAAAAGAATTAGAAAAATAGTACTCCTACAAAATTTCAATGTACAAAATTTATAGTACATAAAACGAACAAAACTCCTCAAGCTAAATTAAACAAGCTTTCGGAAAACACAAATTGGCATAACAAAAAAAATACAAATAAAGATATGAAAACCAGGTGAAAATGAATTAACAAGTTGAAAAATGAAGATTTGAAATTCAGAACATTTCCTTATTTCAACTTGTTAAAACACAAATCACCACACACATAAACAAATACAAACAAACATACTTGTTTTACGTTGTAAGCTCGACGCCTTTATTGTGCGAGCTAGTAACCTCCTCTCGTCATACCATGGTATTATCACACCGCACAAACCTAAAGAAAGTGTCCTAACAATCACACAACAAAAGTTACAAAAACGAGACAATTCACAACAATACGTGAAAACACATATATGCACAAATATCATATACAAGTTAATGTACAATTTCTATACAACATATACATTAATTACAAAACTAAAAAATAAAAGAATTATCGCAATGCAAAGACAATATAAGCAATCCCCGACAATGATGCCATTTTGTTGCGGCGGTAGAGCGGCAAGCAAAGAAAGTTTTGGAAATATTTATTCGGGAATTTATTGTGTCCACAGAGATTGATTATTGAATTTCTGTTTGAAAAATCATTCATTAATGAGTTTGGGGTTTGAATGGTATAAAAAAGTAAATGTTATCAACAGAAAATAAATGTAAAAAAAAGTAAAAACTAAGAAAGAAATTTTCAAGCCTGCAAATAATCTACTCATCACAGACTTAAATCTATCGACTAGTTATATGCAACCTAAAAATACTCATCAATGTCACCACGTATCACTCACAATCTAAGTCATTTCTAACCCAAATTGAGAGACTGAATGTATCATCTCAGAAGTGATATCTCTACCTCCTTAACAACACAAAAGACAACCGTGTTACTCGCACTAACGATCT